TTCTGTTCCGAACTCTCGTTCAGGATTGAACGAGAATCCTTCTAGAATGATTAGTCTTTGAAAATCACATTTTTTTTCTTTGAATCTTGCTTTTCCAGTATTCTTTCTTTTTTTCTCCTGGACATTTGTCTTCTCATTCTACTTTTTCTGTCTGTTATTTACTCCTTATTTTCCAGATTTTATTTCTAGGTAATTTCCTCAGATCCTTTTCTGGTTTACTTTTTCTCTTTGAGTATGTCTGCCTTTTTCTCTTTAATTTTAACGGTTATATTTTTCACTCTTAAAGAATCTAGTTTGTTCTGTTTAAGAGGAACAGGTGTTTTCTTTCTTCGTGACCTTTGTCACTTCTTTCATGTCCTTAATCATTTTAGTTGTTATTTCATCTCGTTGACAGGGTTTTGTTATCTGGGATTTATTCCTCAGGTGCGCGTTCTCACCTCAGATATTGTGTATTGTGCGTGCAGTTTCTCATTTGGGGAGTTCATTTAAGTGGGTTTATTTTCTGGGGGCAGATCTTGTGTATTCCATGTTGTGGAAAGTATTCATCAGAATAGCTGGTGTTTGCCCCTCTGCATCCAGTGTCAGAGCGAGGCAGGTGTTGTGTTAATTTCTCCCTGGGATTCCTGTAAGATGGGGTCTCCTGGGAGTTTTCTGTCCCGTGTCTGTGCACGTCTGTCTCTCTCGACACCACCCCACCCTTTCCCTCTCCTCTGCGTACCTTCCACAGACAAGCTTACCTTTCGCCTCTGTGGGCTGACAGAACTTGTCTTGCCCACCTTCACTGGCGGTGCAGCTTTTCCAGACTCCTGGCCTTACACTGAGGGTTCAGTTCGTTCCCCACGTTATGGGCTGAAGGCCATGTTTCATATGTCCGCATGGCACTGAGGCCTCAGCTCGTAGAGGCTGTATCTGGCTTAGCTTGCGATTTTCCGGACTTCTTACCATATAACCCCTTCATTCCAAACTCTGCCTTTGTTTCTTGCCCTTAGAGTGTTTTTTTTGTTTTTGGTTTTTTTTTTTTAATGTTTTTTTATTTTTATTTACACCTACAGCACCTGGTCTTCCTAGGTGGTCTCCCATCCAAGTACTGACCAGGCCTGACCCTGCTTAGCTTCTGAGATCAGACATCAGGCTTGTTCAGGGTGGCGTGGCCGTAGACCATGGACAGTGGCTTCACTGGGGCGCGAACCCAGGACCTTCTGCGTGTAAAGCAGACGTGCTCACTGCTACAGTATGGAACCACGTCCGCTCTTAAGAGCTTTTGTTGTTACTGTTCTTTTCATCTCAGCTATATTTTAAAATTTGGGTATTGTATTTTATCTTGTTCTGTGGATCTGTAACATTGGTGGGGGTGAGGGAGGGTACCCCTCTTAGCTCAGTCTCTCATTTCCCAGAAACAGTATTACTCTGACTAGTTAGTTGCTTGTATTTAGGAGGGCTGTTCACTTGGTATATATTAATGTTGTAACCGTTTGTTATAATGAATCTGTCATTTACACGTCTTTTTTGTTGTTTTTCTTGGGTTTTTCAGATATAGAAAGAATCATGTCATCTGAAAACACTGATACTTTTGCCTCCGTAAATTAGTCTTGAAAATTTTTATCTCATTTCTTTATTTTGTTGTTCATTGCTCTGGTTAATTCCTCCAGTGATGATTTCTGTACTCTTCCTCACTTTTAATTGAATTGGCTACTTTTAAGATTTTTTTCAAATGTCCTAAAGCAATTAATTTATCATACATAACTTAAATATTTCAGTGCGCATCTTCATTTAGTAAGAAATAGTGCAATTATATGTGAAGTTTCCAAAATGTCATTGTAAATTACAAAAAGTAATACAACAAATAACCACAAAAATGAAATATTTCTAAATCAGCTTGTTTAAAATACAAATTTTCATTCCTGCACTCTCTCCTTTGGTATCCTCGTCCTGTATTTGCGTAAGTGCTCTGGTGATCAATTGCCAGTGAATAGCAGGGTGTTGGAATACCCACAAGGAGCACCCCTCTTTACTCATGTGCGGAAAAGTAGACCTTAGAGAGGAGTATTTACGTGCGACAGAGATGAAATAGAATCTGTCCATTGTAATTCACCTTTATTTTTAGCTACTCATTTGTGTAGTATGGCTCTACTTCATGCTATTTATAATTCAGTGTTGCATTTAGGCAGTTAATATTAAATGTGTTGTGGTTTTTTTCACAGTACAGAATACCTCTCTTTAAGCAGATGTGCGCATACTTTACTCAAGTCTTCAACATTTTTATAAAATATTCTGGTGGCATAGAGCTGTGCCTTTTGTGACTAGATCTGATGTTTCTCTAATTTAGGGGCTAATTTTATTTTTGGCTTCCTATTCAATTTAAGTTTCCTCTTACCCTTATGGGTGGTGATACTATTTTATATGTTTTATATTGAACGTATTTAAATAACTCTAGCCAGCCTCGGCTCAGATACAGAACTCAGAATTCAGTGCTGCAATGTTGTCTTAGAATAGCTATAAAATTAAAAATTCTTAAGAGAAATTTCGTTCACTTAAAACTTGTAAATTCTACTGTATGTGAATTTCCTTCTTAACTGACCTCCGCTTGTCTTTGGTAATCTCTTTCCTTGTGTTCAGACTTAGAGACTCTGCCTTTGTCTCGCACACCCACTGTGATGTCAGAGCCTCTTTCTTCACCTCGTGCTGCCTCTCCCCTCCCCACACAGCCCATGTGGTCACACTAAGTGTGATGGGTCCCCTTTCCAGTAATGAGTGTAAGACAGGAATTGGGCATCTGTAGAGTGTACTGGCTAAGAGCACAGACTTTGGAGTCCAATAGACCTAAATTTGAATCTTGATTCATTTGTTTAGTAATCTATATTTGTCTTTAAAATAAGTTTTAAAAAATGTTTTCAGTGACTTTCTCCTCTGTGAGGTAAATGTGATGTACCAGCCTCACAGGGTTGTTGTGAGGATTAAATAGACCGATGTATGTGAAGCACGTTCATTGGTGCCTGACACATACAAAGTGCTTAAGAATTGGTAGATATATTGGTTGCTGTTATTTAATTTAAAGGTAGTGAATTTACTCATCTTTGGTGACTTGGCCGGTTTTATCTTGGAAAGGCTTCAAAACTAGCTTTAGGAAAACTACCTTAAATGCATTTCATATTAGGTAAGTAGGGAGTAGTTATCCTTTGAAAATAGTTTAATAACCTTCCCAATTTCTGCTGTAAAGATTAACCTGCCATTAAATGTATGATATAAAATTAGAAAAACATGGCGAACCCTGGACGAGTTTGTTTGTTTTTTTTTTTTTTCAATTAGGCTTATATCTTAATATAGTATCTTGGCTTCCTTATAAATATTGTTTTTTTTTTTTTTCTTTTAAAAGGGGGTTTTAGATTTTTAAAGTGTCTCTTAGATACATTTAATACCTACTTGAGAATTCCTGGCCGATGTTAATGTTAATGCAGTAGACATTGTATTACATTGGGAGTTTGGAGACGTGGGTTTGAGACCTGGCTTTGCTGCTGACTTTGTACATATGTCCTTGGTCAAATAAATCCACCTCCCCCCCCCCGAATTCTGATCTGTGCTTTGGCACTTGTCACCTACCTACCTACTCAGAAATTTGTTCACAAAAAGACGAAATAATTATGTCAAGGCTTTTTAGACAATGCAAAGGGCCATCCAGAGTAAAGATAAGTGTTGTCTCAGTTCTCACCTTATTTTGTTCACCTACATCTTTTCAGAAAACGTTAGCGTCTTATGTATTCTTGGAAATTGAAATTCATAGCCCTGCTAATCCTATGTCTGTGACCAGAGGCATTTTGGTAACCTTTATTTATTTATTTATTTTTTTGAACTGTGAGATGGCACAGTCAAAGGTGAAGAATTTTGGTCATTTCCTAAGTAGCCAGAAAACAGTTCCTGCATAAGCTAATTGTTTTCAGGAAGTGTAACTATAGTTCTAGAAACACTTTTCAACCTCTGCTCAGAACTGATGACTTCCATTAAGCCTTTACTGAACTCGACTTGGTTTTAATTAATGTGCATCCATTTGCATTTATGCATGTAGTTGGCAGTATATTAATTTATATTCGAGTGTTTTGTAAGTCATTTTATGTCTTTTACATGTGATGATCTGGTTTTGTTTTCTCAGCTAGATTGGAATCTTGCGAAGGGTAAAGACAGTTCTTTCCCCTTCTTCACGACAGATCCCCTCCTAATACAGGATGCTCTGCTATAAAGCGTTGTTACTGGTTGTGTTTAGGTAGAACTTTCCCTAGAACAGAGTGGTATCAGTTGGCCTTGTTTTAAAAGTATGCATCTGCAGAAATTCTCAGGCGTTTTAATGTATACCCACTTGGAGTGAAAGACAAAGGGCATCAAAACAGTATACTGCTTGATTAAAAACTGTGGTGTTTAATCTGCCATGTAGCTCAACTAAGATGAGACTTAATTTTTTTGCTTTTTCGAACCATTTTGTTAATCGTATCTGGCCCCCAAAATCTAGTAAATCTCATTAAACAGTTTAATTTTTAATATTGTGATATTTTAGGGGAGTGTAGTATTTCCGTTGTTAATAGCCATAGTTTTAAATGATTCTTAACGAAAAGGAATTACGCCTTTTATAAAAGCAAGGCTGTTATAAGAGGCATAATTTTGTAAAGTGTCTCAGTGTGTTATTTCTCATTTTTTTCATCATATTAATTTATTAAATTATCGATGATTCTTAATTCTCATGTAAACCTTGATATGGAGGAGACTATTCTTGTAATAAGTTTCTTCATTTATTTGAAAATGGCTATATTTGAAAACAAATTCTTTATGTTTGCTTTAATTAGCTAGCGCTTTCTCTAATCAAAACCAGATAAAATTCCGTCTTTTACCTTTGCACTTAAAGAATTTACTATAGATGATGTTTCTTCCAAACGAACGTTTGCGTTTTATTTTCCAGATGTTTTTCTCTAGAACCAGTTTTTGCTCCCTAAGAAATGGTTTTCTGTCTTCTTCAGGAATGTCATTGTCTGCGGGGTCGTCTCCTCTTCACTCCCCCAAGATCACGCCACACACTTCTCCTGCTCCCAGAAGAAGAAGTCACACTCCAAACCCAGCGAGCTACATGGTGCCTTCCAGTGCCTCCACGCCCGTCAGTACTCCTGTGTCTCAGACGCCGTCCGCCGGCCAGGTCATCCAGAAGGAGACCGTCGGCGGGACGACGTATTTCTACACGGACACCACGCCAGCCCCCGTGACTGGAATGGTACGTCTGCGTTACGGGAGGTGGCAGCGCTCTCGTGACAGTTCCTCTGGTTAGTGACGAGCAGGTTGACCCCCTCCCGCATCCCTTTATTGTGATATCAAAGCGGGTAGTTAATTTTCTAACTTAGCTGATAATCCCCATCTCTTCTCTGCAAAGTAATCTGCTTTTGCATTAATAAGAACTCTAGTTTCGTTCAGATCTGATTTTAACATGCAAGCTCTAGTTCAGTACTCGACGGCGTGTTTCACTTATGTGGTTACTCATTACTTGCACCAGCTGGAGTTGACATTGGCTGACCTTGTGTGCCCCTAGTAAGAAGCTAGAGAAAGGAGACAGTTTCTGATCAGTAGTTACCGAGAGCAAACCGATGATGAGCTCTTGCCTTAGGTGGGCGTTGATTTAATAGCCAGATCTCTGGGTAGTGGAGGACACAGAGTGTAAGACGCCTCCAGTACGGATCATTCATTGGCAAGGAGGGAGGTGGCTTAGGGACCCGGATTACAGTTGAAGAAATAGCCAGCTGCCAAAGCACCTTCAGGAGAGCAGGGAAGAGGGGACAGCGTGGGGAGAGTTGTCACGTTCCATAAATTCTACCTTTTCAGATTCATTATTCAAAAATTATTACTTTTAACTATAGAAAAATAAATAGTAGATGAATAGCTCATGACTGAAAAAGCCAACTTCCACTTAAAGAGGAAAGTTGGTCTAAGCCGTAGACATTCGACACGTTCATGTAGTCGGCTTGGACGAACAGCGCGTGTACATCTCAGTAATAAGCACGTTTCACCCCACGAGTTAAATCCATGATGGATTTTGGTTAATGCTTTACTAAAAGGCAGTCTGAGTGGAGAGCGAACGTTACTTTTTTGTTGTTTATTTTTAAGAGTCCCAGTTCTGCCATTGTTTTGTGACTCTTGAGTCTTAGTACCTTTGAGACGACTTCCCCGACTGTACCTGGGGTAATAATCTAATACCTCGCCGCGTTGGAGAAAAACTGACGTTTATAGAAGTGCTTGTACTGTAAATCATGTTAATGCTTTTTAAAAAATAATAACACGGTGTTTTGTTTTTGTTTTTGTTTTTGGTCAGAGATCTTTCAAAAATTATCACAGAACAGCTTGCCGAACAGAAGGTCAAATAATTGAGGTAGAGTAGAGACTTTCCTTGGTTCTCTCAAGTAAGAATTCCATCAACGTTTTGCCTTTTGGGGGGTTTATTATATCTTATAACTATTTACGTTTTAATTATATTTCAGTTTAATCTATAAAAGAGGTTCTTTTGTCACCAAACTGTCTCAGCTGTTTCTGTAGAGATTATATATGGCATATTTTTATGTTTTTACCCTTCAAATCACTCTTAAAAATGTGCTCATGGTAAACCTGAGGTCGTTAAGGCTGACTATGCTGTCTGCAGAAACCAAGGCAGACGCAAAGCGAAGGGACCTTGTGAGTGTCGCACGGCCACTTACTGCTGAGATCAGAGCAGAGTGATTATCTGACGGCATCAGGAGTCAGCTGAATTAATTTTTAAAAGAGAACAAAATGTTTGTTTCAGCTTTTAAAATGAAAAAAAATAGAGCAAGAGAAAAGATACTGTCGAACGCACTTCGATTTTGCCTCGTGGACCAGTGAGGGGAGCAGAGGCGGAGGGTGCAGGAGGAAGCGGGGTGGTGGGATGGCGATGGCTGTGGTGGCCTCGTGTTCACCTGCGCTGCTGGCCAGCGTACATTGGCCCTGCTCACTGTCGCCGTTTGAAGCGCTGCTTTAACGAGTATTTGGGTGACGCTTGAGGTTGGCCGTTGTTTGGGTGGCCAGGGTGCAGTCACCCATCCTCTGGCTGTGGCCAGCACCTTCATATCTGCTTTCTTCTCTCTCCCAAACGCTTTTCAAAATACTTACAAGTCGTTTGTGTGACATTCATCCAGAGAACTACTTTTGCCTCTCATCGGAGCTTAAATTTTACTGTATCAGAAGGAATGTTTCTTTTCTTGTTAGATTTTTCAACTCGATCATTAAATATAAGATTAAAAATGAATTCATTCAGAAAGTCTACTGGTTAACAGCTGTTCTCTGTCATTGAAAGATTTAAAATATCAATTTAGCACTGTCAGTAAAAGATTACATTTTATCAAAACGATGAAAAAAGTTATTAAGTGAAGAAAATCGGGGTTACGTTTTCTCCCTACCTTTTTAGGTATTTCCAAACTATCACATTTATCCTCCAACTGCACCTCACGTTGCTTATATGCAACCGAAAGCAAACGCACCCTCGTTCTTCATGGCCGATGAACTCCGACAGGTAGGCAGGCCGGAGTCCCGGGGGGCGGCCCTGCCCATGACACCCTGACAGACAACTGGACGAAGAGCAGCTTCTCACATCATACGTTTCAGAGTGTTTAATCCAATGTTCCCTACTAAAGCCGATAGGATTTAGAATTTATGAGTTCTCATTGATGTATTTATTTAAGGAAAGCTGTTTTTCAGAAAAATTACCAACTTGTGAGCTCTCTGAGTAATGATGTGTTAGGGTATAAAACACAGAAATTTAAATGGGCCATCTGTCTGCACTTCGTATCCCATGCATCAAAAATTTTCTTTGAAATATATAAATAATTTAAATGGTTTCTAACCTTCAGGCAACTTTTGCTAGTATCTGTAGGTTGAGATTAGGTAGTTTGGCCCAGAAATAAACCTTATTTTAAGAGAGCTTCATATTTTCTATAAAACAGGTTTTATAAAATTTTTTGTTAGGTATTACTTGATATGTAGAATTTCATTTTACACATGATTCTCAGAAAAAATTTCGTTTCCCAGAAGAAAGTTGTAGGAGTGTGACCTTCGTCAGCGGGTTATTGACCAACTTAGGAGTGGACCTGAGTTTCCAGCCAGAGTTGGTTATATGCAGAGTGGTCACTTAAACAGCCTTAATTAGGGGCAGGCCTATCCAGGACTAGAATTTAAACATTTACTTTTCTTAGAAATGTTATTTCATGAAATATTAATACTTATGTTATTTAGTTATAATAGAAAATCCAGGTCTCAGAAGCTGAGTTTAGATGTAAATATACTTGTTTTCTTTCCTTAGGAGCTGATTAACAGACATTTAATAACGATGGCTCAGATCGATCAAGCAGATATGCCAGGTAAACGCGAATCGATTCACACTTCCTTTCCAAAGATACGATGACCCTCTTTTGTGGTCCTACGTGTTTTTACATCGTAAACTAGCAGTTCCCGTTTTATGAATATATTTATTTGCGATCTAGTTGACAAGAGTTCCAAGATGCCACTGATCATCTAGTTGATTTAAAGTAATGCTACATGTGACAATATTTTAGTTCCTCAAAAAAAAAATCAGATAGTTTTAGAATTCATGGTGACTTAGGTCACTGTGCACTGGAATATTATTGTCTTCTGAAACTTGATGACAGTTTCCCAAACAGAAAGGAAAGTGATTATTATTATTTCTGAGACTACAGTGTGCCGATTAAATGCTTTATGTCTTATTTTCTTCCTTACAAAAATCCCGTGACGTAGGTACTAATATTATGGTCTCCATTTTACGTATGAGGAAAACTAAGTTGACAGGCAGGTTAAGTAACTTGCGTTGGAGACTCGCGGCTGGTAATTGGCTGGCTGAGTCAGAATTTAAACCAGGGTTATCTGACAACACCACGGTGTTTCTAAGAGAACATTAAAATCTCTTTCTCCAGCTTATTCTGTTTATAGCAAGATTAAATACGGTGTAATTCAGCAGAACTCTATAAATAATGCAGCAGGAGTACATTTGCTGTAGAGATAATCCAGGATTCACCAACGTCCACTGTGCTTCTTCCTGACTGCTAAAGAATTAAAAGGCGTGTGTCTGGCTATTAAGTCTCAAGATTGATCTTTCCAGTTTAGACAGGCCCGGAACATATCTGCCGTAACCTTTGAAGTGCCCAGGTTGCGATTTTCCCTTAATTATTTAGCGCTGTCTTTGAGGCCCTAGTAAGGGCGAAAGGAAAAAAGAAAAAGAAATAGGTTTATTTTTGCCTTTCTGGTCTTCATGACTAATTGTGTAGAAATCATATGACTGTACGTTAGATGTAATTTGAAATTATAATAAAGTTTAGGAAATCGCTGGATATAAGATTAATACATGTCAATTGCATTTCTATAGACCAGTAGCCAGTGATTTTAAAATAAAAGAGAAGATGCTATTTACAGTGGTTTCAGAATATCCGTACTGAGGAATAAATACAACAAAAGATGTTTAAGATCTTAATAGGGGAGATTTATTACAATGTAGTAAATAAGAGCAATAGAGTGAAACACTATATTCATGAATAGGAGACTTAATGATTAAGGTGTCAAGTTTTCTAATCCGGTCTATAGATTCAGTATAATTCTAGTTAAAGCATGTGAGCTGTTTTTACTCAGGATGCTTCTGACCCCTAATTCGTGCCCTGACAGTTCAGTCGTTAAGGGCTCAGTCCCTCAAGATTACTGCCACTACAGATGCTAGCTGAAGAGGGGTACCTGGGTTGCCCACGCTTTTGTCCCGCTAGCTACAGATTTGGGCGTCTCCATAACCCACCCACTCAGGTTCGGTAACTTAGAATGACTCACAGAACCCAGGAAAGCCCTTGACGTACTATTACTGGTTTATCATAAAGGATACAGCTCAGGAGCAGCCAAGTGGAAGTGACGCATAGGGCGAGGTATTGGGGGAGGACTTCCTTGCCCTCTCTGGGTGTGTCACCCTCCCAAGCACCTCGGCGTGTTCACCAACTCGTAAGGTCTCAGAGTCTCGCCACTGAAGAGTTTTTATGGAAGTGTCATTGCATGAGGATGTTGATTAACTCAGCTTCCAGCCTCTCTCCGCTCCCTGCATGATGTAGGCTTAGGGCTGAAAGTTCCAAGCTTCTAATCAAGGTTTGGTCCTTATTTTTTTTTTTTAAATTACAGTACAACATAACAAGAGCTTTTCATAGTATGTGATAAAATTTATCAAAGAGAAAAGGGCCAAGACTACCCCAAGGCACTTTGAACATTATGACCTGGAATCTGGGCATATTGGGGGAGGAGAGGCGTGTGTCGCATCTAGTAACCACAGGGACGTGGTGTTGACACTGGGTTGGACAGATCAGTTAATAGAGCAGACTAAGGAGAGCCCAGACGTATCCTGTGATGGGCGCGGGGAAGGGAAGCACTGGAAAATGGTTTTCATTATGGTGAAAGATAAAATTGGATCATGATCTCAAACCACTTCCAAAAACCAACTCCAAATGGGTTAATAACTTATAAAGCAAAATTTAAAAAATCTTATGGACTATAAATGAATTGATAATGTTTTA